GTGAGGGTGGGAATGGGAGGGGATGGGGGTAGGGGTGAGGGTGGGGGTGGAGGGAGCTCCAAATAAAATACAGGCGAGACCGTCCTGGACATTTCATCCAAGTGTGAGAACAGCATTAAAATTCTGTGGAGAAACAGAACCCGCCCTGGGAGTCCCGGAGCGAGTCTGTGAGCGCCTGGCGCCTGTCTGGGCCGGAGTCCGAGCGGCCCAGGAGACGAGGCGGGCCCCACGCTGCTCTCAGCACTTCAAGAATCCGGGGCCCCGGCCAAAGGACATTCCTAGGAGCACAGGTCACTCCTGGAACAGGAGGCTCATTCCTCAGCCGCACACCCCCCGGGCCCTGAGCCGCTCCGATCCGATGACGGGGACTCAGCACAGGAGGGTGACAGCTGAGCGCAGCCCCACGCGGCCCCCGGCCCTTCTCTGCAGCGGAGTCACAGGCACCTACACCCCAAGTCAGACACGAGCTCGACTGAGAGACAACTCGGCCTGGGGTTTCCTCGGCCCAAAGCCCTGGAGCAGGTGCTGGCCGTGCACAGCCCTGGGGTCCGAGCCGACACCCACAGGCCGTCACTGCCCACAGGCCACCCTGCACGGAGGCCACTCCGTTCAGACTCGAGAGAGGGAAACAGCTTCTCTTTTTAAAACAATTGTTAGACTGCAGCTCGGCCCAGCGGCTGATGTCAACCCAGGAGCCAGGAGGTCACCGACTTGATTCCCGGTCAGGGCACAGGACCGGGTTGCAGGCTCGATCCCCAGTGTGGGCGTGTAGGAAGCAGCCGATCCATGATCCTCTCTCATCATTGATGTTTCTCTCTCTCTCTCCCTCTCCCTTCCTCTCTGAAATTTAAAAATAAAAAATTTTTCAGATGTCCAAGTCAGGGTCTTGGTTGGGTCCCCAGCATCTAGAACCCTCCTGGCACCCGCTCCCGGCGTCCACTGGGTCCTCTGTGGCCAGTGCCTCAGGCCCCAAGGCCAGGCCCCACTTCTCTGAAGAGTTCACTAGAGCAGTGGTCAGCAAACTGTGGCTCGGCAAACTGCGGCTCGCGAGCCACATGCGGCTCTTTGGCCCCTTGAGTGTGGCTCTTCCACAAAATACCAACTTCGCCGCATGGGCCAGGAAGGGCCACGAAGTTTCAATCGCACTGTACATGCGCGCCTGCACGTGTTATTTTGTGGAAGAGCCACACTCAAGGGACCAAAGAGTCGCATGTGGCTTGCGAGCCGCAGTTTGCCGAGCCACAGTTTGCTGACCACTG